GGACAGTAGATTAGTGGAAAATAATTATAATTATAGTAATTAAAATATGAAATATGATTTTAAAATTTTATAAAATTTCAGAAAACTGGAATAAAACCAGCATAAACATTCTTAAATGGCCTAAATAAATATGTTTTCTTCAATAAATTGTTTATAGATACATTTATTTTTTTTTTAAATAAATAATATTAATGAAAATTAAAATTGTTTGATATTATTAGCACTCCTCCCTTACATATAACACCTGATATATGTAGGTATTGTCAAATAGAAGATTATTTTTTTAGCATTCTATATAAAAGTTTTCATAGAATTTTTTTTAATAGTGTTGAGTAGCATACTCTCAAMAAATTTGAAGGGAACATAACTATGATACATATTTAGGCACACAGAACCTTAACGTATAACACGAGTCATCAAGTAATATCATCATTCATCAGCTTACTTTAACTTTGTCGGCTGTAGTGTTGAATAGCTTACATCTCCGTATCGTGTTCAATACGGGATCGCACCAATCATTTACTACGTTATGGGTGGTTACCGGCGGCAGACCGTCCCTTTGTAAAGCGTACAGACACCGTTTCAACCTGACGGTGTCTTCTTTGTTTAATAACTCTTCTTCGACAGGCATACGGCCCCTGTAAAACAAGTCCGGAAAGAATGTTATGAGTTATATAAATACATCGTATTTCACGTATAAATTATAGCGTTATAGACACTAACCTWAGACAAATTTCGTAAATCCTTCGGCCGACTTTTGTTTGTATTTCTAGTATAGTGTCTCGTAAGCTTTTGGTAACTGCGTGGCCGCGGAGACTTTCCACGTTAAAGTTTTCCGTCCGCGCTGGAAATATCAGGAAGGCTACGACAGTCATATCCGAATTGGCATTCTGCAATTGAATATCATTTTTGTTCCTCGTTGGTTAAATAAGATCAAGTATACCGACTATTATTTATTGACTTACTTTCAAATAATGATTTAAACGAGCTAACGCTTCGATAAATATGTCTGCTCCTTTGTTAGAAAATTCATATCTTCCAGCCGTAAAAAAATATAACGTCTTCTCCAGATCGAAATTATAATGTCTGTTATAAAAGATAAATCAGTGTATTTAGCACATGAAAACCAAGTATAATGTAATAAACGAATGGTGATTAGGATAATTCGCTCTGTATTTACCTTACTTTTAAAGTATTTAGTGGCGCACAGAGGTATTTTAAGAGCACGAGCAGTGTCAAAAAGTTAGTCACCCACTCACCCAATTTTTTATTTATAAAAAATATTTTTACTTATTAATAACTGTAGTTCAAGRAAATTAATTATAATAGATTATATAGTTTATGTTATAAATTTATAAACTTTTCTATGAAACCTGCAGTAATATACACCCACGACCCACCCCCTCGAGAGCACATATGCAGTTGCATTACTTGCTAACCTGACTGGGCGCCACTGAAAGTATTATAAAAATGTAATGTTTTATTATGATTCAGCAATTTAAAATTTAAATGGTGATTTACAAATTATAATAATATCTAAATCATAAATCCTTATTATTTGTTTTAATTATGTCTACTTGTAGTAACTAGTAAGCATTGAATAATATATTTGTTTTAGAGTGAGTAAAACAAAATATACATTGAGGCAAAATATAATTATACTTGTTTCAGGTAGGTACAAAAAAAACCGGCTACCTATATATAAAATGAAAATAATTTTTATATATAGTAAAATTGTAACTTTTGAATGTTGAGGGACTACGCCCTCACCTTTTCCACTTAATTAACACCCATATAAATTACAAGTAAAAGCACAATTTAAAATATCCAGTATTTAAAAAAAAAATATCTTTAAAATTCCTAAAATTTATAGTTAATATTAATGGTAAATATATTATTCTTATAATAGATACCCATGGAAATGGCCGCGGACAAAATCGTGAATCTTCTCTTTGGAYAGCGAATGAAGGTTTTGAAATTCGTGCAATGCTGAAAACTTGACAACGTTTAATCCATTGGGAGTTATAATATCAGGCTTACGGGAGAGTAAATACTCGGATTCTTTTCCGGTAATATCAGATACTGTGGTAAAAACGTGTGCAACATGTGCTGCAGCTCGTTCCATGCAATAACGATGATAAATTTGTCTTTTACCAGCTTCTTCATCGAGATTGAACTATAAAACAAAACGTTGATATAAATAGTTTTTTTTTCGTTTATCAAAAATAGGAATTGAAAAGATTGTAATCACACTCTATATACTTATTATGAATCTATATCTATATTATGTACACTGATGCACTTAAAATATAAATGGATAATAAATTATTGTATAATTGTATTTTACATTTTATAATTTAATTTAATTTTAAAATCGTAAAACATTTTATGT